ATAAAATAATTATATTAAAATCCACTCATACGTTGCGCAAATTTGGAAAATCTCGGGACGATATTGAAATTTTCACATTTATGTCGGATATTTTCTAAAAAGTAAGTTTTTTACCATGAATTTAAAAATTTCTAGTACAATCATTTACATTTTTACAGAGAATTTCAGAAATTCCGGTATTTTTGCATTCATTTATATCGGGAATTCTAGAACTTTCGGTATTTATTTATAGCCTGGTATCAGAAATTTCATAATTTCTAATAGTTCAAAAAATGGAATTTTACCGTAAATTGTAGGATTTACGGTAGTTAATTTTGAAAATTATATCGAAAATTTCAAAATTTCTGGTGATACATAGGAAATTTCTAAATTTGTGATAGTTCACTGGTTTTATGCGTTTTTTCATTTTGCAGTGAAGACCAGGGGAAAGAATGATACCATTGCATACAAGACCACAGATAGAGCGACAGTCCAGGATAGGACAGCTGAGGCAGAGTCTTTCCAACTACAGGTTGAACGAGTAATTCAAAATGGTTCTCATCAAAAATATATGGTTGAGCGGGTGTAGTTCATCCCACCCCATAGAAACCGATGTCGAGAGATTAGATTAGACAAGCAGTCTATAGATGATATTGAGGTTATTCATGCTTAGGAGGTGTAAGGTCAGACTATTATCGACCCGACTGAGGTGGTCAGACAGATGCGGTACCTGTTGCAAATGAGGTGGCTGATGAGGTGGTCGAGATAGAAGCGACCCCTATTGATGATAACGTGGCCAAGATAATGATGAATACATCGTAATGCTATGTTTTTTGAATAAAATAGGAAGAACAATAATCTACAAAGACAATACAACTCTTAGACATAATGTTCATTTTAGGGGTACAAAGCTCATCAGCTGAATCCCTCGTCATGATCACTGATTAGCTATTAACAATGATGAAGTAGTAAAAAGGAACTTGCATGCATTTGGGAGAATCCTCAGTGTCAGTGGTATGGCAGATTTTCTCAAAACATGCGACTGACTTAAGTTGTTGATGCACAATTAAAAGCAATCTATCTTGGTCTCCAATTGGCGTATGATCGAGGATAGATGAAAATTATTCTTCAAATAGACAATAAGATGGTGTATCATGTGATCAACAAGAACACTTCTATCATAAAATTAGGCAAGGTCTCCCTAAATAATGTGAGGTTGTTGCTCAATAAAGATTGAGAGGTTAGAGTGAAGCCTATCTTTAGGAAAACTAATATGAGTATTGATGCATTAGCTAATCTTAGGATTCGTTTGATTTAAATGAGGGGGAGGAAAGGAGAATGATTTTAATGGAGGGAATGGAAGTGGAGGGGAGGGGATAGATTTTTTTTAATTATATATATGTTTGATTCAAATGAAGGGAAAGGAGGGGAAGTGAGAGATTTTGATTAAAAACATGTTTGGTTCACGAGGGTTGGGGAGAGATTTTATTAATAATTTACATTTTTATCCTTATAATTTTATATTAGAGATATAACATTCAAAGGTAAAAAATTCATGCATATTTTTTTCAAAATAAAATGTGTAACATTGAGGGATTAAAAAGTCACAACTTACTACATAATATTAAAAAAAAATCAAATACACATAATTTGTATTATAACTCTTGACACAAAATAAACTATATGTTGATAACAATTTTTAGTATATAAATTAAATGATTACTATTAAATATTATAGATATTACAATATAATTACAAAAATGAATGATTTAAAGTTTTATAGAAAAAATATAATAGAATACATAACAAAATTTGAAAAAAAAAACTAATATAAATATACATAAAAATAAAAATGATAAAAAATAAAAATAATTACAGTGATTATAATTTATATTAAATAAAAAAAATTATTTGAAGGTGAAGAATAATTATAATAAGTTGATGAAAACAATAGAGAAAAATCACACAAAAAAGAAGCAGAAACATGAAAGAAAATAATAATTTAAAGTACTAAAATAAAATTGAGGATATTTTAATAAATATGTTAATTTATTAAATATAAAAATTTATTTTCTCTCCCCTCTCCTCTAAATCCCTCCGATTTGGGGACCTAAAAAATGTGATTTTGAGATATTTTACTCCCTTCCCCTCCTAAAAATTGAATCAAACACATTTTATCCCCTCACCTCCCATCTTCTCCATCTACTTCAAATCAAGCACACTCTTAATCTCCATTATAATACATAAACAAGATTGTATGTTAGTTGTCTTATAGAAACTTTTCTTTTATTCTTCATTGATTTGTTAGAAGAAACTAATCCTTGTATTTTTTGTTTGTAGTTTGTTGTGTTTATGGCCTTTTTAACCCTCTACATTATCAAATAATAATAATAATAATAATAATAATAATAATAATAATAATAATAATAATAATAATAATAATAATAATAATAATAATAATAATAATAATAATAATAATAATAATAATAATAATAATAATAATAATAATAATAATAATAATATATAATAATAATAATAATAATATTAATAATAATAATAATAATAATAATAATAATAATAATAATAATAATAATAATAATAAAATATAAAAAAAGGAACATAAAATTTTTCACAAAGGATGATTCAAATGGAAAAATAGTATTGTTTATTATACTTGTTTTATATATTAAAAATAGTTTAGAGCAAGTAGAATATGTATGTATAAGATTAAGGATAAAAATAAGTTAGGTAAAACTTTAAAAGGGTAGAGTCTGATCTACGATAAATTTAAAAGGATTGAGTCTAATCTACAACCTATTATAGACTCTCTTTTTAGGTCTGATCTAACATTTTTAAAAATCTAACATGACATAAAAACATATTCAAAAATTTAATTTTTATTAGGGTTTTTCTATTTATCTATGTTATTTAAAAAAGCTTTATATATATATATATATATATATATATATATATATATATATATATATATATATATATATATATATATATATATATATATATATATATATATATATATAGGGGCCATATCTCATGAGAAAGTCTTTCTTATGTGAGAGTGAGAGGGTTTCTTTTTAGCCTTTAGATTACATTGGATGGTTGAGATTCATTGATGAAGTTATTTTTTTTCTTCTAAATCTTACTTCTCTCTCCTCATTTATTACGTTAACTTTTTTTTACTCTTTCTTCTCTCTCCTAATCTTAGTCATAAATTTTGATCCAATGGCTTATAATTACTCCTCTCACTCTCATATAAGGGACCCCTTTCTCACTTGATATGTCCCCTATATATATATATATATATATATATATATATATATATATATATATATATATATATATATATATATATATATATATATATATATATATATATATATATATATATATATATATATATATATATATATATATATATATATATATATATATATATATATATATATATATATATATATATATATATATATATATATCGAATTCCCCTCAAATCTCTGCTTATAATATGCTCTTTGATATAAGTCATTATTATTTCATTATTTATTTTTGGATATTAAGATTACATCATTTTATATGATAACATAGTAATTACACATTGTATTGATATCTATTTTGGTTTATGATAACAATTAATTTTGTTCGAAATTTATTCTTAACAATAAAAAATTGATAAAAATACAATACAAATTTAATATTGCACCATATTTCCTTTTATATGATTAAAATTCAAAATTAATGCTTATTGATATTCTTAAATATATCTTGTATACAAGTAAATAGTTATTTTATTTCTTTTGTCACAACTTAAAGTTGATTATAATTTGAGTATATTAAGAAAAATGATTTCTAACATGATTGTTGTGATCTTCAGTTTTTTGGTTGGCTTGATCTCCATTAATGTAATAATAATGAATTTTAAAACAGGTGAATTTTCATTAAGTTTATAAGTATTTTTTAATCAAATATTTAGTTAAGATTTTTAAAGAGGAAAAAGTAAAATGTCATTTTTATATGATTTTGCACGATTGTCAACTAAATTAAATAATCAGATTACCTAGACATGTTTTTTTTTTTATCGGTGAAATATTTGTTAATATTGTTTCTCTTTTTTTTATATTATATTTATATTAGTTCATAATTTTATATAAATATAAAAAAATTTGATAATATTTTTTATATTCACATTTTATATAACAATTTATATCATGAAAATTTTCATGTCATAATAAATTATTTACATTGTAAAGTTGTATAATATCTATTAAAAATGTAAAATTATTTGTTGAAGTTATTTTTTAATATGGTTGATATAATAATTTTATTAATTTTATTTGTATATGAATTGATTAAATATAGGAACAAGGTGAATATATTTTGTCGTTTTCATATGTGTCACATTGTCTTGTCTTATCATTTGTTTTTGAATATTTGTTATTTAGTTAAACTAATATTTTAGTTATTGAATATATCCCCTAAAAGAAGTGTATTTTTTATAATCGTTTATACTAATCATTGTCATTAATTTAATATTTGGATTAAGTTCTACGATAATGGGAAAAAATTCATCCATACAAGTTAAACTAGTCAAATTATAATTTTTATACATTAGAGCAAATATTTTATTTTATTTTTAAATTGATAATAATTATATAATTATCAATTAATTGATACCGATTAACATGTGAATAACTATGTCTTTACTAACGGACTAATACAAAATTTATCTTGTGTACAATTCATCAACAAAATGATGAAATAAATTAAAAAACTTAGTTTATAGCTTTTTTTTAAAATAAAACATTGTTACTTAAAATATTTATAGTAAAAAAGTTAAAAATTATTAACTTGTTCCCTATTTGAATCTTTCATTTGAATATATAACAAAAGTAAAGTTTTTATTTTTACGCATTAATGACAAAAGTTCCAAAAATATAAATAATATTATCATAACCATAAATAAATAAATTAATTAATTTAAAATATAATAAATGAATAATTAATTGATGTTTTTTATTTTTACTTTTTTGTCCTCTTATGCTGTGGGTGTTTTTTCACATCTTGATGAAAAGTGCGATAAGTCTGATATCCAAATAAATCAATCTCCAACTGCTCCACTTCCAAGTGGTATTCCAACATACACAGTTGAGATTGTAAATACACGGGTCATTGGTTGTGTCATCTCTAATGTTCATGTTGCATGTGGCATGTTCAGTTCTGCGACACTTATCGATCCAAACATCTTCAAACGTCTCAACAATAATGATTGTTTAGTTAATGGTGGAAACCCTATTTCTAATGGAGGTGTTATTTCCTTCAAGTATGCTACCACGTATTCTTTCCCTTTATCTGTTTAATCTGTAGTTTGTAGTTGATCTTCTATGTTTTAGTTTTAAAAGTAATCAAATTTATAAAAAAATATTTTAGTGTTTATGATAATAAACATTTTAATGTTTATGATATGGTTTTTAACATGATTGTTAAAAAAATATATGCGTATATATTCTGATATGATTCACCCAATTCTAAACTGCCATTTGGAGTCTAATCTTCTTTGCTAATCTTAAAATAATCAATTTAATGTAGAGTGGTTAAAAATATAAAGCTTCACGCATTTTTTTTGAGAATAGGACAGAACAACTGAACATTAACTAGAATAAAGTGACTTTGATTAGTCTAAATTCAAATATTATAGCTACTCAATTATGTAAGTTTGAGAAATATATCTCTCAAACTATATTTTTTTTTTATATTTCTACTGTTTAAATTTATGATTTTATCTATTTTCATAAAATCATTTAATTTAAAATCAATTATTTATATAAAAAAAATTGAAAATTACTTATCACCACTCACTTCATCATCTGGTTGTGCTACTCATTAGATTGCATAAAGAAGATAGAATCTCTGAACTCCTTGAAGGAAAAAAGGTGAAATCGAATTATCATTACCTTCAACAATGATAGTATTAGATATGGCATGAGGACTAAGTCACACGAGCTACTATGTCTTTGAAAGGATTTTAGAAGAAAAAAAATAATATGGGGCGGACGCACATTATTTGAGGAATGAGCCTAAAAGTTTGGTCCACCCTACAAAAAAATGTTAGTTTAGCAGCAATACCCCCTAGATCTCGCCTTACCTCCCAGGAAAGAAAAGTCTCGAAGAGGATATTAGGGTCCTTGGGAAGGACCAAATACTAACTCAACCAAGTAAAAATCTTATACCAATTGGTGCTAGCTAAATCACACGTGACAAACATGTGTGACACCAACTCGACAAAACCATCACAAACATGATTATTGTGAACTCCATTACTATTGATGCAGAATGATGGTCTCCTAGAACTGGCACGAACACGACGAACATTACTCTGAGCTTGAGAAGTGAAACCCAAACCAAATTTATCTAACTTGTAAAGAATATCGAGAAGCTGTCCACAAATAGTGCAACCACCTTCTTCAACCACAATCCTATTGTCTTTCAGGGAAGCCATTTTTTATGGAGTCTTAGGAACAACAGACGTAGCTTTATCAACCGAGGTTGTCTGAGAATCGACTTCAAAGGTCTGGAAAGGAGTGTCGACGAATTCACTATCCACCTAGACATACTTAAAAGAATTCAGATGACTCACCATATTGTTTACAGTGATTTCTGGTAAACAACCGCTAGTCCTCCAAACTATCGAATAATCTTACTGACTGTTATTCAATCTCTCTGGTAACTCGCAGGATCGACTAGATTGATCCTAGGATGTATTGGTCATTAGGATAACTCTCATTATAGAACTGGTATTCATGGTTGGTATTTAGAATGTTGTGTAGGTGTTTAACTTACTTCGATTACTCTATTAAAGATTTAAAGGCATGATCAAGTAAATGTGCGCGAAACTAAATTGCATGAATAAAGTTCAATTGTAAAGACATGTAAAACTGCATAAAAGACAAGTAAATGACTTCGAAGCATAAAAACATGTAATGTAAAAGATTCTCTGGAATGTAAATGATTCGAAATATGAAGAAAGCGTTTAAATGCAAGAAAACAGTAAAATTCTCTGGAATGTAAAAGATTCGAAATATGAAGAAAGCGTTTAAATGCAAGAAAACAGTAAAATGACTTTAAGTGAAAAAAGGTGTTCGAATGATAAAAGCTTGAAGATAAAGGCATGAAATGTACAACAGTTTCTGAAATGTAAAGTATTTGAAATGGAAAGAAAGCATTTAAATGTAAGGCATCAGTAAAAAGACTTCGAATGAAAACATTTTAGTGCAAAAACTTTTGAATAGTATTGACATGAAGATAAAGGAAAATACTGGAAATGATAAAGAGTTTTTATTAAATCATAAACACTTGGTGTTATCATACGTACATTGCTCGTGCATTCGTTTCCCTAGCCATGTGGTATTTTGAATATTTACTAAGTTTTTTGTATAATAGATATGACACACGAAATCCTAATGCTAAGACTTCTATTTATACTACTTCGACCATAACGGTCTTGCTATAAGATTATGCCACGTTCAGAACATGCAGAGCAATGCCTCTCTCTTGCTTCCACGCGTCTTCGAATGCTCCAGCGCATATATTTCAAATTTCGAACATCCCGCTTGCATTTGAATTTCAAATGTTTTGGCACTTCTTTGCTTCGAACGCATTTCTTGGACACAGCCTTGTTAACATTTCGAGACTTCTTTGAATATATTCTCATAACTGTCACTCGAAGCTCCAAGTTTTGATATGCCCATTCGAAGCACTGCTTCTACCATTTCGAAACATGACATCTTGCTTTATTCCAATCGAAACGTCCAATTCGCTTCGCTTCTAATAATATCATCAAAATCTTCAGCCAACAAAATGCCCCTTTAAAATATGTATTTGGATTCCTTTGAGAAATACTTATTTTAAACATATACACAAGATTTTGATACGACCTTCGAATCATCGTAACATTTATTGCATATGACTCCAGTCACGTCAATCACAACGCTTTTCAGATTCCTTAACCGCCTTGAACCATTTCACAGCATGGTGCAGTTACAAAACAATGATTATCTTTAATCACGCCTATTACCAATATTGACTTTACGCCACCTCCTCATCAAACCAACCCACGACTACCACGTATCACAATATTACTCAGTGGATGCTTAAACTTCCACACTATAAAAACCCATTAACTTAGTCTTTTCTTTTCTTCCCACATTCTGAATCTTTTCTTCCTCTTTTCTCACTGAAACCCTAAACTTCCAACATTCTTCCAACAATGTCTTCTTCAACTTCATCTCAACTGAAAAAGGCTTCCAAAAAGAAAGGAAAGACCACAGGAACCACAATGGAAAGCAAGGTTGGCACCTACCAAGGTCAATCTGTTCTTGTTCCCCATATGATCTCAAAAGAGAAACAAATGCTTTATGCATCCCAGGTACTAATTCCTACTAACGCCGCTGGCAAGAGGTTAGCTTTAATGAGCCCTCTTACAGTCTTTGAAATCTTAAAAGACACCAGAAAAATTTTCCCTGTTTGTTATAATTTCAAACCTCTGTTTAATAAAATGGATGCCCCTAAGACAATAGAGTCTTCTGATTCAACCACCATGGAAAGTCCAATCGTTCCCCCTAAGGACCCTTTTGTGCTAGATAATGTAAAGAGTAACTTCAAACCATTTTGATCTTGCCCCACCTCTGACACAGCTTATCACAACTGGTTTAATAAGGTAGAAGCTAAGAAATCCCAGCAATGGGAAGAGTTAGGCATTTACAACTTAATTAAACTATCGAAACCAGGTTTTACTTATAGCCACCCATTGTTATTCGCGTCCCTATATTTCTGGGACAGTACTTACAATACTTTCCATCTCCCTGGTGGAATGATTACACCCACCTTTTTTGACATAACAGCCATTACTGGGTTATCACCAATAGGAGAAACCTATATTCCCGACAATGAAGAGCATTCGAGTATTATTGACTTCGAAGTCAAGCTAGCTAGCTTTTCAAAGTTTATCAGCCACTATCACACTGAAGGAGACAGTGTGTCGGATGTGGAACACATTGCTTTCCTTACCTTATGGTTGTCAAGGTATGTCTTTTGCAGCAGATCCCTACAGGTAGCCAGTAGGTTTATTCCTCTAGCTAGAGATTTGCATGAGAATCAGAGGGTGTGTTTAAGCGAACTGCTATTAGTTGATCTTTACGAAAGTCTAAGGTCAGCTGTTTCGAGTCTGAAATCTCACACCTCCAAGAACATCCTGCTAGCTGGCCCTTTCTGGTTACTCCAGTTATGGCTAAATGCCATGTTCGAACCTTCACTATCAACTTCCAATACTATTACTGAACAAGACCCAGAAATAGCGGATAGAATCATCGAAGGCACTGGGCTGCGAAGACTTACCCCAAACGATGATAAGGATGACTTCAAAGTTCTCTTCTCAAAATATATCATGATATTATCCAAGAGGCATAAATTCGAAGAGACCATGGCGCCTTTTGCTTCAAGGGCTCATGGACCCTCATGGTTCACCATGGCTCTCTCAGAAGCTGTCAAAAGCAAAGAAATTCAAGATGTATGGAGAGCCTTTTTGCTACCCATACTAATCTCTTCATGAATTACTCCTGCTAAGAATCAAATTTTCCTTTTTTCTTATCAACCCAACTTCGTTTCGAGACAATTTGGCTTGTGCCAACTAATTCCTGAACCCCTATTCCAAACGGAAAATGCCATCACCTCTGGGCGAACCTTCAAGGCAAGAGAAGCCAAACTACAGCAGGAACAATACCAAGGCTTGGCCCATTTTAAACTAATAACTTTCGAACCTACACACCTTATAGCAAAGGGGTCTCTGGAATGGTGGACAAAGTTCTATCAGACTTATATGTTCGATACTCTTACTATTCAGCAGAAACTAACTGATGCATTCGATGTGCAGGTACCATCCAAGAAAGGTATGTTCACTCATGCCAAAGAGATTAAGGCTTTTCAAAATTATTTCGAAACTACTTATGATCCCACACACTTGGAATCCACTGTGCATCAAGCGGCTGAGACCTTGAAGGAAAAATTCAAAGAAAAAGTTTCTAAGTTAAAACTTCCTTCAGGGTTGTCACCTGAGGATAGGTATAGGTTGGCATTCGAAATGCATCCACCTAAATTTCCTAGATTACCTACCTCACAACTGGCTCTGGCTTGGTTTCCTCCATACCCTTGGTGGTTCACTTGCAAAGAAATGTTCAAATATCTTCAAAAGAAACCAAAGCCATCTGAGACTGTGACATGGGCTCGACATTGGCTCCACGATTTCCCAGGACATCTTCGCTATGACCTTTCTACCATGTCGATTAAATATGATCAAGGCACAGGT